CTCAAAACATCCACCTATAAATGATACAAATAAATTCCCCCAACGTTGATTCTGTGTCGACACCGCCAGGTTTTACCCGCACAGTTTCATCCTCCATCCACAGAGCCGCCGGAGTTCATAGTGAAACCCACCGACGTGTACGAAGTCAACCAGGGCGAGTCGTTCAGCATGCAGTGCCAAGCCCAAGGAAAGCCTGTGCCCAGGATACTGTGGAAAAAAGACGGAAACGAGCTGCCCCACGTAGCAAATAGGTAGGGTGGCCTCGTGTTTCAAGTCGTTGGTCTTACTTCCTAGTCATCTTCTTGAACGTACGTTGAGCGGCATTACTAAATCAGGAAAATTTGGGCGAGAAGTCAATTTTGAGTAAGACCGCATTGTTTATTATATATAGACCTTATTACTTTAACCATCCTACAAAAATCCTCCATGCAGTTGTGGAAGATTGAGGCTGCATGGCAAAATAGCATTGTTTGAAATTCAATATTCTCGAGTGAAGCTTTTTAGTTGATGTCAAAATGGCCTAAATGAGAAAAAACGGATGACTTTAAAGCTTTGTGAAAAAGCACTAGCGCTAGAAATTCCCCCCCCCCAAGAGCCTGACTACGTAGCAAATCGTGGCAAAGAGGGGTGGAAATTTCATTTGGTGTTTCATTGTTTCATGTGCAATTTTTTTGAATTGTTATTCCTTGTTCTGAATTTTAGTTCTTTCTTTTTTGTTTTGTTTTAAAAATATTTATATTTTTTTTTATTAATTTTCAAATGTAATTTTGTTTTATTTTTCACGTTGTCTCTTTTGCCCCAATGGCCACTCATATTTGCCATCATTTGCTACATAGTCAGGCTCTTTGGGGGGCGGAGTTGTAGCAGTTCCCACGGGGGCACTTCCCGGCTATGCTACCAAGGGCTGAATCTCACTGCGCACCCCTGTCTAGTTTTACTAGTCGGTCAGTGTTTTCAATGATAGGGATCATTCCAGCCATAAACAGTATACCGCTGTTCTGGGCATAGCGCGGCCGTGGATTAACACCACGGACAAAAGTGCTCCAGGGCCCCGTTGATGAGTGACACAGCACCGCTGCACGCCACTCCAGCCATGTTTGAAAAGACGCCACTCGCATTCACTGGGAACAGCCATTGGTCATCATACGCCATTGCCAGACGCCTTGACCAAAGTCAGTGAGCTGGTGAAATCTGAACGCTACATGTACACGGCATCCTTAGCCTTAAAAAAAGCTTATTCAGCTCGTGCTGCGAGAGGGCTCATAGTAAATTCAGAGACCCTTTGTAGGGGTAGATAAGTTCTTCAGAAAACTGCTGTAGGGTAGCGTACGAGTGACTTGCCCTCGACTCGACTCAACCTCTTGTGCATTGCCACACCTTGGAGTTTTCGTTTGGTCAGATCTGATGATTTTTTGTGTCCCGTGGTGTTTGGCAGGTTTACAATAATGCCTACCGGCGACCTGAAACTCACCAACGTGGATACCAGCGACATGGGAGTGTATTACTGCATTGCCACCAATCCAGTCCTGGCTCTCTCCCTTTCCACACAGGTGCTTGTCAGGGGTGAGTTCTTTATTCACATCATGTTTTATATTTTCATGGCAGTGTCAAAAGGTGTAGGGTAAGGCACTTGTGCCGACTTGATTCCCCGACCGAACCTGTGGAGCGAGTGCGCAATTTGACTTAGTGTTCAACTGATCTCTCAGTTTGCATTGAATTTCTCCTAAGCCCATGTACATGTGTGCATTGTATTGTAAACCCAGACATTTTTTGGGCCCACCGCTGAAGGGATTTCATAACGATAGCTGCTCTCTTCATCGTCAGGTCCCCCAGTGTTCAAAATCACTCCCTCCAACCTCACCCTGTCAACCGGCGAAACCGTCGTCCTCCAGTGCGAGGTTATGGGGGCGCAGAACCCTGTGGTGACCTGGCAGAAGGACGGCCAGGGGATCAAGTCCGGCGACCATTACAAAGTCCGTGAGGAGGGACTCCAGATCAAGTCGGTAACCGAGGCCGACAGCGGCAAGTATTCATGCATCGGAAGCAATGCTGAGGGAAGCGTGGAAAGTACGGCATATGTCAGTGTTAATGGTAAGGGTCTTGCTGTTGCCATGTTCATATCTCTGGGACTGTCCCTAGTCTAAGAACTCTCTCATCACTGAGTTAACCATATGGTTATTCCACGAATCCTTGGACCAGAGCCCTCTCTAAATGAATATTCAGTACACATGTGCAGTGCTTGTACTGGACTGGTTCCCCGTCCCAATCATGCAGGGACTGGTAGCCAGCTGGCTTCTGGGGTCCTTGATTGGTTTAGCTCGGCCCATGTGCAGGTGCATTATTCTATATTTAGAGACGATATTTACAACCTTTCATGCACCTGGCAGCCCAACACAATATCGCCTGGCATTGACTGTTTCATGTTTCCTGTTTCATGTATATGCTAATTTCCTCGTTAACGTAAAACCAGCAGAATTCCTCCGGAATCCTTACTCTTCATGTCCCTACATTTGAAGGATGTCTCTGTAAGACGTCTGGAGACTACGTGCGGGAAAGTAACCATTCTATACATGTACACGTGTGCCATCTTGCGTCAGTGAAATGACCAAGGGTGCTGATTGACTGGTTGCTGACAGTTGACCCTGTTACATTATCAACATTAGAAATCAAACAAGTAGCTGCCTGCTCTATGGCGTGAACACACCAGGTCTCGCAGACAGGGTGTATCGGTACGATTATTCCATTCGGAGTTGATTCATCCTCGTGCCACACTCCATGTAGCACTGACAAGTACTGTTTTAAAGAGAAAAGCCAGTATAGTTGCGCAACGACAGGGATAAACTTCCCAGTCGTTGTAGAAAAAGTGCCTGTGACCAGCTTGAGTCACTCTCGCCCACTGATTCATTGTAGTAACATGATATGGAACAGGGAACCAGTTCCAAGACAGATTTGATTGGTCATGAAATGCCTGTTTAATAGGCGTGATCTCGTTGCCAGATACATGTACGGTACTTCCAACAGATTATGTCGACTATTAGTCCTTTCATGGTTCCCGGATAATTCCTGAACAAATTCCTTGTCACATCCGCACAGCCCGCTCTCTCATGTCTGGGTCAAGAACCGCCGGTGTATAAAACTGATCGCGGCATGTGATGTATGTTTTTCACCTCTGCAGCACCCGTTTACGGCAAGCAGCAGACAGTGGGCATAATGTGGGTCTTCATCGTCGTCATCGTCATACTCGTCCTCGTGATCGTGGTCATTGTGGGCGTTGTCTTGAGGCGTCGCTACCAGCAGCAGGCGCTCTTCAACCACTCCCGGCTCAACCGGAGCCCCAAGAAGTCTGGAGGGGCCCTGGGTGTTAAGTTTACCGAGCGCAGCAACGGCAGCTACGTGGAGATAGAGAAGCAGAAGGCCAAGGAGGAGCGGGAGATGCAGACGCGAGGGATTATAGAGGACGTGGACATCGTATAGGTCCAGGTAGAAAGCCACGCTTCGATTATTACCACTGATAATTGCACAAGCAGTATGTGGATGTCTCGAAATATCCCGATATTGAAAAACCAGACATTGCAAATCGTATCTCGCTATCCTCATGAAGTGACAAAGACTTCTTATTGCTCGCTGAAACTCCATCATGTGCAAATCATGTGGAAAATCTCTTGACTTTTTTCCCCTGATCACGTTTTGTGTTCTTCTCTTTGCACCGTTACTGTAAAATTTTATAAACAAAAAATGCTGTAATTAATTTTCTCTGTCGGTACACCCATACTTGTTTCCTGGACACAGGAACAAACATGCATTGATATCAAGATACCACGGGGAGCAGAAATATTGTGGGGACAAATGTTGTCCCCTGCCCGCAGCACGGTTCTCTCTCTCCTAACGAAAGAAATTGTCCCCTTGGAGTGGGGAAGGCCTGCCCACTGTAACCCAGTTTAGTACTCATTGGTGAAAGTATCCATCAGAAATTTTAACCCGCGAAAGTTGCTACCTTTCCAGTGCTCATTGTTTGAAGAATTTTATGTACAGAGCACCATGCATTGTAGGTTTTGTTTTATTTTGTTTTGTTTTTAATGGAAGTTTTGATCACTTGGTGAAACTCACTATTCCAAAAGACTTATTGTCAACCTAAAAGGTAATTCTCACAGAAAGTCGAGAGTTCTTGTTATCGGCCTTTTTATGTGATGGCAATCACATATTTCAGTGCACTGCTTTGATATTATATCACATATTTCAGTGCACTGATTTGATATTATATCACATATTTCAGAGCACTGATTTGATATTATATCACATATTTCAGAGCACTGATTTGATATTATATCACATACTTCAGAGCACTGATTTGATATTATATCACATATTTCAGAGCACTGATTTGATGTTATATCACATATTTCAGAGCACTGATTTGATATTTTATCACATATTTCAGAGCACTGATTTGATATTATAGTCTCGTCAATGTTAAGGATTATGATTGTTTTCTGTCTCTCTATCTTCGTTTAATCAGTCTCTACTCAGAGAAGCAGCTGAAAACAATAATGTGATGCCATAGTTCATGTTTTAAATCATATGCTCTTCAATCAGCCAAAGCTGTGTGACTTCTGAAGTCTCTCTTGCCATAAATGGCAAGTGAACCTGTGTGCAGTCTTAACTGAAAACGTGGGACTTATATTTTTCTTGAAAATAAAATTTTTCTTGGTTTTAGCCAAAGGTATCATTAGCAGGTTGTTATATGTAAAAGTGTAACTGTATGTTTATATTTGTACCAAAGTTGCAGTCTTTAAAGTTGATATTTCTTTCTTGTTTTTTTCAGCAAAAAATACAGGTGAATTAATACAAATGTGGAGATTTGTATTTTCATTTGATCCGGTGGAAGGATTGTTGGGTTCCAAAATGAGAAGCAGTTCTTAGCCCGTACAATCCATCCAGGCCTCAAAACTCAGATGGGGATGAAGATGTTTTCCCTGTTCCAAATTTATCTCAGAGTCTGGCTTTGTCATGTGCCGCAGGGTGGGTCGGTCGGTCGGTCGGACGGTCGGTTGGTTGGTTGTTTTTTGAACAGCCACTGGCAGAAAGTATCAGGCCCAAAATGAGAAGACACTTGGCTTCATCAGGTCTAGTAGTTTGATGTGACTGTACCAAAAAAAAAAAGATGGAGCTGTATTGATCAGAGGGAAGGGGAGGGGCTTAGCTTTGAGAGGGGAGGTGGCGTCTCCAAAACTACCTGGTTTTGTATGATATTGGAATAATTGTCCTTGCTTGGCTCGGTGTTTTGCAAATGTCATCTATTTAGAAGAAGTGTAACACTCCATCCCTTAAGTTTGCCTTCATGGGAGGGGCAAGGCTGGGGACAGGAAGGCGGTAAGGAGTCAAACTGAAGTTCTTTCATAGGCGGAACGGTTGGCTCTTAAGGCAGTAAGGTATGCCTGTATCATTAAAGAAAGTGATTAGTTTTTATCGCTAAAGTACATATCACGATTCTTTTCTCCGTAAAATTGGAATTGCTTACAACGCTGAATGAACCGTTGAGACAATGTGTACAGAAAGGTGTGGACCACTAGTTCTGTATTTTGCAGCTCACCGTGTCATCTGGCTCCGTCAAAGCATCCTTAATTGACTTAAAAGCAATAAGTAGTGCCTGGGGAATATTGAGCGTGAAGAAATAGTTCCTGTTTATCAGCTGTTACAAGAAAATCTTGAAACAAACTACTGAACTAGAAGTAGTTGAGAAGAAAAGACGGCAGCTATTTACAATATCATAGAGGCTTTACCTACCTCCATGACAATATAAGGAGTGAAATCATCACAGCTTTAAAGTGTTTTGTTGGAATTTGTATCAACTCTATAAATGCTATACTTCAAAAACTATAAAGCCTTCTTTTGTGATTTTATACGCTCCAAACCAGTACGATCCATTTGCGAGACCCGCAGCTTTCTTTGTCTCGGCGATAATCTGTGACGGAAATTGTGCATAGTGTGAAACTTTAACCCAGAGGTACTGCATCGTACATTTACGACTGTTCTTGTCACTATGTGTTCATTTGTAAATTCATCCTCTTGTACAGAATATACAGCCTTGATGTATGGGCAATGCCCATCTTCAACTGAGAGAAGTTATTTATTTTAGATTCCGGAATTTGATGTGTTTATGTTACCAGTAGTTATATAAGAGTATGTACAGGTCACATGCCGTATATTGCTTTGATGCTTTGTATAATTACGCATAATAATGCTCTAGTATTGAAAAAATTATGAAAATACATGTACATTATATTAAAAAAAACTATAAATGCACATATTAATTTATTTCGTGGAGCATGTGGCGCTTCGTATTGTTTGAGTAAATTTATGTTCCTGCACATACGTGTTTGTTCGGTCATATAATGGGAGACTTTTAGACGCTTGGTGGCGGCAAACATACCAGTTCTGAGCATGCGCGTGTTGTTCTAAGCATGCATGCATATTCGCTGTCGCCCAGTGCCCGGCCGAACCAGGCCGTTTTCCAATACTCAACTTCGTCTCCGTCTCAGGCTTCGCGTAGGAAGCCAGTCCTCGACTGTGGGCCTGAAACGTTTAACTTAAATGGAAGTACTGTATCGTTTGGCTCTTTTGCATCTTACCTGATGTTTTGTGGCACTATCAGACTTACTATTGCGCTTATAACCTCAATGTCAAGAAGTGAAAAAAAAAACAGTCGAAGCCTGAGACGGAGCCCAGAGCGCTTGGAAGGGCCGACAGCCCTTCACAGATTTTAGTGAAGAAAATACTTCACGAAGCGAAGCGTGCATATAGTTCTGAGCACGCGCAATACCTTGAAAAGGGGACCGGTATGGCCGCTGCCACCAGCGTCTCATCGAAGTTTCCCATTCTGTCGAAATGCCTCACTGAAATTTTGAACAGCTTCACATTCATTGAATGGGCTTCCGTTCTGTAAATAAAATGCAACGGTTCCAATGCAATTCAAACCGTAGAGTTAGATTTAGCCAGAACCTGCACGATTTTGCACGGGCAGTTGCCACTGGGCAGTTTTGCTGTGATAGCTATATTATGCAAGCATCATAGCCAGTCATTTGAGGGACGTGCCCACGCACAGTCCAGTTCCTAGTGACCTACATGTATACGGTAAGTCCAAAAAGTGTTTGTCGAAATAATAACAGCAATCACCAATGACCTCTGTTGTCCTCGGCCAAAACTTCCGCCACTCTGTGCTATGGAAATGAAGGCTTCGCGCATCATTGTGCTTTGGTCAAACGAATGTCGAGTTTGGAACTCTGACCCATGTCATATTCTTTCTTTATAACTTGTTGTTAGTCAGTTGTATGAAATCCTTCATCTTGTAAAACATGAAGGCATTTTGGCTTTGTAACTTTGCCAGGCCATCGGTCATCTTGACAAGACCACAGTATAATTTGGAAGATGGTACCTTGATGGTTGTGGAGTTGCAGTGTGAGATACAAGTCACAGTTGTCATTACAACAGAAAAAAAAAGACAAAATTACTCAGGGCTGGTGTAATCCCTAGGCTTAGGCCTACACTTGTTCAGTGTCGACATGTGCAAAATAGCTATTATTATCAGCTGGCCACCATGCATCAAGGTGTGAGGAAAGGTGATTAACACGAATGAGCGTTTTTGGCCCATGGCTCGTCGATCTACTGTATGAAAATTTTCAAAATGCGGGTGTTCTAAAATCAAAAATACTTACACAGATACCTTTGGGGACACATTGTGATTGATAATCAGCCTATATTCGTATTGGGTATAACGATAATGCATCCGAACCTACTTTTTAGCGATTGGCTGACTTGTTGGCCAATCAGAGTGTGCTCCTAGTGTAGTTTTTGTGTTGGCGCTGCACATTTTAGTGTTGCTTTGTCGGACTAATGCTTGTAAAAACAGCAGATATTTATGATTTTTGTTGAGGTTTATTTGCACTAGCGTTAGCAATGTTATTGTTAAATGCACTTGCATGGAATCGTGCGGGTCAGGTTTGACAAATTTGTGTTGGTGTTGTTTTCACACATCCAACACAGACTTTTTTTGTAGAGCAACACGCGTAGTGCGTAGAAACTTCACACGCGAGTAATGCATGTCACACGTACAGCCAGCAGTGCTATGTCTGCTGTTAATAATTAATTAGGTCATGGCGAAATGTAGTTATAGCCGTATTTCAAGTAGCAGATGATGTGCCATTTTTGTGTGTGTGAACATTGTTGCGAAGACCCGACTATTCTGGAAAATAAAATGTTCATAACATGATACTTGTGATCCGATTTCTTTGTCAAGTTATTTCGAAGTGAACTTATTTAAGATGCACTCATTCCTGGTAAAAACCCAGCGCGTGCGATATGCGTAGAACTTATCTGGAATGGCAGAAGCTGGCTTATACGAACGCCTGTTGTTATGGTGCAGTTGCTATTAATATTTTAAGTATGGCTGCTTCGGCCAAATGTTGAAAGCTGTTCTGAAAAAAAGCTCTTGAAAAAATAGCGGTACAACTGGAAGTTACAAAAGATCGACTGCGCGTCTGTTGGTATATACATGAAACGCGCAACGGATTTTGCTTCTCAAAATGGCTGCTATAATGCTTATTGTGAAACTAATTGTTATACTAAGCTTAAGTTAAGGCCCGCGACAAAAGAATACCACCACCATACCATATTAACTTATACACGCTAAACATAAGTGCATAAAATATTCGACTGGAGATCTAATCCATATATAAAAAGGCGTTGGACTTCAATGTCAAGGTCTAGACAGGACATTTTCATGCATATCAGGATTTTTTCTCACAAGGTGCATTACCTAGATTTTATTGACTTCTTATACATTATTTTGTGTCCACTCAAATATCCATGTCTTGTTTCTATTTTCCTTACCATTAAACTCTCTTTATCCCCGGAAAATCGTACTTTTTATCAGTCATCTGTATTTATATGTTTATGTAACGGTGATGTCATGCATAAAATGTACAATCAAGACTCAAGTGCTATTGGCTCCATATCCAAATGACTTAAATCACATCGACAACGTCGAAGTTTTAATATAGTTTAACAATTCCTAACAAAAAAGGATCATTTTGTGAAAAAACTGAATGTTTGATTTGACACTTTATGTATTATACACGTTCGTGCCTTTGGTGATGCACACCATTTTGTTCACCTCAATACATATCATTGAAAAATAATTTTCCCTTTCAAGATATTAACCAATTAAAGAATTGCACACAAACCTAATTTGTTGGTTCTAGGAAAAAGAGCTTATAACTAGATTAAAAACATATGCTAATGATCTCTTACTGCGATATGAAAA